TCCTCCTCCTCCTCCTCCGCTTTATGGCCTCTATTTTGCTGAGTAGTTTTAATATTGGAAGAAAAACCAAGTTTCAACTTCTAACATGGTCACAAGGATTCACTAAATGATCAGGGATAAATTACTTGCTCTCATGTCCTAGATTATAACTGGGAACATGAAAGACCTGTTTCACATTACTGCAAGAGAGAAAGCAGAAAGAGAGATCCAGAGATGGGTCTTTAAGCATTCCTTAAAAACCTGGGTCTTCCTTCAGGCCTTGGGTTAAGATGGATGGATGGGCCATGTGAGTTATAGACAGATGCCTTTGTTCCCTTGAACAACTGTGGTTTTATGGACGTCATTTATACCGATTGTTGTTTCTTAATTCTGTGACACCACCCAGAGTGGTTTAGAGTAGGATGGGTTAGAAATTTCATTAAATAATAACAATAACAACAACAGTGTAAAAGTATTAGATGCATTCAGCATTCCCTTTGCTAAGAAATGCACAGAAATTATTATTCTAACCCATACATCAGGCTGCACTCTGCAGCGCTTCTTCTGTGGCCCTCCAGCATTTTAATACAGTGATGGCAGGTTTCACAAGTTTTGTACTCTTCTCAATTTTGTTCCATTTCTGAGTTCAAGCTTGACCCTTTGTATTCTACTATCCACTCCCTCAACAGTCCATCCAGGGAATAAATAGCTCACACGTGTGGCTGGAAAGGCATGTTGGCAAAGCCTTCATTCATGGAAAGCTGCAGGGGGCAAGTTGGGAGTCATTTTCAGTCATCCTTTCTACAAGGTGTGGGAGAAGAAGTTGGCTCTGGAAGCCAGGATAAGAGAGGCGTCTTACCCAACATGATGGCATCCAGCTCGTCTTTGCAGGGATCAGGGATTTTGCTAGGTTTTGGGGCAACTGCAGTGGTTGTAGGGAAGGTAGAAGGGGAGGTCCCAGGTGCAGTTGTTGGCAGAGTCTTCTTACCTGTATAGAAAATTCATTCTAATTATGAGTCAAGCCTAAAAGAAAGGGGGGGGGAATATTTGTCCGTGTAGTTGGCTAACTACTGATCTCTCGCTATTGTATTGATTTCTTTCTTCAAGCCAAAACCTCATTCAGAAAAACATCAGGAAGAAGTTCAGGCTTCCTTGCTCAACAGCCTTGACTCCCTCTGGGGTGGGGTCCCCCTCTGCGTGTAATTTCAGAACTGCTGGTCCGGGCCCTTTTGTGACTGTCATTGTGGGAAACCGAGCTCTGGTGGCTAGGGGATGGACTGGCTGGAGAGAGACACCAGAGCAGCCGTGGGGTGGCGGGGAGAGGAAGAGGAGAGAAAGATAGCCACAGAACTCAGTCATGATGGAAAATAAACAGGGAAAAGTGAGAATCCTCCTTCTGAAAGCCGTAAAGTGAAAGCTCATCATTTCTCCAGGGAGTTCCCCATCTTCCCTATACAGTCATCACTCTTTTTTTTTTTTTTTTACATAAAACTGACTTGAACATATTTGGCATAAAGGGGGAATAATAAGTCTACAGCTGATATGCTTCCCAGATTAAGTTAAAATCTGTCTAACGTGATTCAATGCAGTTATTTAAAATGTTTCTACATGCTATCCTTTAAAAATTCACAGTGGTCAAAAACTAAGAGTAAACTAATAACGCAAGAATACAGTATCAAACCAAAATAAATAAATAAATAAATAAATACAAAATATATTTTTAAAAAAGCACTACATCCATGGCCATGACTTAGTTACACGGGTTTTGTTTTAAGTTGAAGAAGCTCATCATGAGCCTGGTCAGAAAGTGACAATTGGCTGACCCAGAGGCACAAACCAGCCCACCTTGCCTGCTCCCAGAAATGTTCACAACTTTAGGAACTCCAGCTGCTTTGGCCACACAAGTCAGAGCACAAGAAACAGAATGGAACAGCAGAGTCCATGATGAACAACGACCTTTGAGGGCCACACTAAAGGCAAGGGTAGCAGTCCTGCCCGACTGCATGCAAATCAGAGTGGATCGGTTCCAATCTTTAGAGCCAAAGGAAAGGGACCTGTGGGTGTGCTGGGCTACTGAGTTCCATACCATATAGGGCCTGGATGCCTTCGATGTCATCCCAGTGTAGGCGAAAGGGGGACCGATAGCCATTGTAAGAGGGAGCCATGAGTGCAGTTGGGTACCGAGAATGACCCAGGCCCAGCGCGTGGCCGATCTCGTGGGCTGCAATGATACGTAGGTTAACCCCATGGGAAGTCCCTTCCGTCCAGTGCTCATCAGCATCAAAGTGGACTGTGCCTAATTCTGGGATGTCTGCATGGGCCAATACATGACCTGAGGGAGACAAAGGGATGAGGGTTACGAATCTGCAAGTCAGGCTTACCACTGGGAAATCCTGTTCTAAATATGAGTCTGGCTTATCCTACCAATTCCTCTGCACAACACAGAACCCTATTTCCTCCTCTTCCTCTTCCTCTTCCTCTTCCTCCTGATGATGATGATGATGATGATGATGATATGACCCTAGGAAGCACCTGTCTTTCTATGACTCTGCCTGATGTTTTCCCCCTGCTGCTTGGAAGCATGGCACAAAATGTGGCAAGAAAGGCATACACATATATGTTCTTAACAATCTGATTGCATTGCTTTCTAAATGGTTTGATTTAAGATTAAGTGATATTAATTTAAGGCCTATATATAGATGTAACATGGCAAATAAGCAAATTATAGCTGTTTAAAATCCAAGATACGTGATTCTGTCATATCAAATGAGATGAATTTTTATAGAGAGAGGGAAAAAAGGCAAGGATCTAAACTTTTTCGTAAGAATATAGCATTTTTTAAAGAGCTAGGTTAAAAAGTACCAAAAAAAAAAAAAAAGCTGGGTAGTATTTTCAAGAACGGTCTACCTAGATAGCTGCTCCTACTTCTTCTTTCCTTGTTGAATAAATGATGATTCTATTATGAGCATTTCTGACTCTACAGTATTGAAGAGATTCCTTGTAATGTAGTGGCTAGGCTAAGAACATCTCAGATTCACGTACACCCATGAATATCATTAGGGCCACCTTGAGCCATTTACTGCCACTCTTGTCTATTCTGCCTCACAAAGTTGTTGCAAGAACAAAATGGGGGTAACGCATGTAAGCTCCTGACATTCTTTGGAGCAAATGTTATCAAAGAGATAAGCTTTTTGTCAAGGCAGCTTTTTTGTCATCTGGAGCCAGTCTTGAATGCTGCTTTTTAATGTAGTGATGGTGGTAGTTCATGTGTAGATGTAAAAAAATAATACCAAATCCAGGGCAAAGAGTCCTGTCAAAGTTGCATCTGGGCAACTGCTAATTATCAGGCTGAGAAAGATGCTGAAATACATCTTTCTCAAATCTACTACAATATGAGATGACCAGTAGATGAAATTTAGTGATTTAGGCCAAATCTTTCTGAAGGTGTCAGCCCGTCAAATTAGGACAGGTCAAGAAACAGACCACGCAAAGACTACTGGAACACCACTTTACTGTTGGAGGGTATAGTAACAGAATACTGAGCCCTGCCAGTTTCTCTCTGCCCCCTCTTTTACCAAGAGAATCAAGGCAGGGTTATTTTGAATTTCCTTCTCACCCTTTCCACTTTTCCAGGACTGAGTTGCTGTTTCTCCTCCCTTAAGGCTCATCCATATTCCTTCATCAAGGTTATTGCCACAGAACCTTTACAGAAGGGCAATTTAAAGCCCCAACTGAAGTCATCTTGATTTAAAGTCAATCCATCTTAATGAGCACTAGGGCTGGTATTGAGCTTCCATTTATGGGTTCCATTTATAACCCAACTTTCCTCCTGGAACTTAAGGTGACATGAACTCTTTCTCTTCAGCATATTATTTTCACTTTTGTTCTATGAAATAAACATTTGCAAAGTCACCCAGTGAGCTTCATGGTCGAGTGAGGATTTGAACCCAGGGGTCCCCAATCCTAGTCCAGTTCTCCAACCACACTCTCATATACCAGCCTATTCCTGCCAATAAAGCAAATTCAGCCTTGTGGTTTAGATCATTCCTTGCCAGCTGCTCCACCCCATCTCTCCCGAGAGCATTCCTCTCCTACCTTGTTCTCTTGCTAGCTCTATCCAACTCCCCCTGCCCCCTCCCCAGCCCTGCTTGGCTCCATACCAGGCCCATCGAAGGGCCGTGAGCAGCCCCAAGGAGAAGAACCATGGAAGGACAGGCGGATGTCAGCACGGCCAGTCCGCACCTCCTGGAAAGTGAGATGTGTCACATCATTCCAGTACTTGAATGCTGTCTGGACCGCAGTGCGTGTCGCAGTAATCCCCAAGTCTTCGCTGTAACTATAGATCCTGTAAGTTAGGTGCCTCTTGCGCCAGCGACCTGCAGGAGGAGGCATAGAACCAGAGGAATCAATAACTGAGCACTTTCTCCCCTGCAGAAGTAGGGCAGGAATAGGGTCAGGAGAATCAAAGCCTTGGAGTGAATCCTCAAAACAAATACAGGATGGGGACATCAGTACTTTCAGGGCATCCTCAAGGTTTGCATAAGCACACACACACACACACACGCACACACGCAAACATACTTGGAGAACTGAAATCTGAGTGGAAACACTGAAACAGAAAATCAGAGAGGAAAATCTAGGATCCAGTATGCTGCTAAAAGTCACGGATGGCTAACACCTTTTATAGGAGCATTCTACTCTACAATGTTTTATCATAGTCCCATGTTTTCTGGAATATTCTTTAACTAAGCTTCCAATGCTATGCACATTTATTTCGGAATACAAGAAAGAGTCTTATTGAACCTTGTTGTCAAAGACCAGCAAATTTATTATCACATAAGCTTTTATGGATTTCAGTCTATTTCATCAAGGTAGCTGAAATATAATTCTGAGAAGAAGTTTATAAAATGTACACAGCTGTTTAGAAGGGGAAGGAGAGATAAGAGACATAGATACAAAATTCCTTTGGACAGAAATGGTAAAATAAGTGTCAGTAAGATCAATAAGGCGTCTTCGTTCTGGAGGAATTGGTCTTTTATAGAAATAACCAAGTGTCGTGGGGCATTCAAATGTATCTTTTTAGAATTATATTCCATACTCAAAAGCTTATCTGATAATAAAGGTGTTAGTCTTTAGAGTGTCACTTTGTTATTCTGGCTGCGAAAGACTAACATGGAACCCCATAGAAACTGTTACTTGGAAATATACCCTAAGGAAATTAATTGGACTTACTTTTTCAGTCAACATGAGTAAAACTGGGCTTCCAAACCATTACAACCACCACCACTACAAGCTGGCCCTAATTCCCACTTCACGCCAGATCCATATATCCATTCCTTTCATTCTGAGCATGGGGGGGGGGTGTTGGTTAATTAATCTTGGCTTTTTGCACCTCTTTGCTTGTGGCAAACATATCAGCTAGAAGTGGATTCAAGGATGCTTCCCTGCTAAATCCAATATCAGCCTTTTGAGACAGGCCTGGTTAAGAAACAGACACCACAGGGATTCCAGAAAAGCAACTTCACTGTTGTCTGATATGCTAATAAAATCTTGAAAGCCTGTCCAAAACCTTCACTGCCCTTTTTTTAAGGACAAGAAGGTCATGGTGGAGCTGTTCCGAATCTCTTCCTCATGCTTTTTACTTTCCCAGGGCTGAGTAACAATTTTTCCTCTCTCTCCTTCTTCTCAAGGCTAGAGTTAAATTCTTCTACATCTGGGGATCTTTAGAAGCAAATCAGGGGAAGAGATCCGAAATGCTGGATCGTTTCCCCACGGTCAATTATCTTTCACTGAAATGTGCATCAGGAAGCAACTGCTTTATATTTGCATGGTCAGCTTACAGCTGGGCCTGGTTAGGATGGAGACTCTCAGCGAATTCCTGGACTCCAGGCTAGTTGGGGAAATTGAAAGACATCATGGAAAAAGGCAGGGAAAAGATTGTCTCCATATTACGGCCTAGAAAATTACCTAGATTTGTCCATGAAGTCACCACAAGCCAAGCTCGACACGCTTTTTATCAATTTACATGGAGGAAATTCACAGACAGGGCAGAGGAAGTCTTACAGCTGAAATGACTGTCTGCCTTAAAACATGCATCGTGCAATGTCTTTAATTAGACAAGCCGATGCAGAAAGAATGTCCATATGGATGAAGAATACTAGTTACCCAAATTGGCCTGCTGCTACACGTACTCTCTTTGTGGATGCAAGAATTTTTTCTAGAGCAGCACAAATTCAGTGATCTGCTTCCCACATGCAGAAAGCTAACAAGCTCCTCCTCAAACATCTGACAGTAAACTACTTTGGGATTTGTTTTTTAATCCTGAAAAGCAAGATAAAAATAATGTCAGTGAATAAGTAACCCATGGCTGACAGTACCAATTCTTGATTGGCAACATGTCCTTGACTCTAGCACTGATGGATGCCTCATTAGTACTTGGTTCAGATCAAACCCTGTTTGACCTTAACATAGAAAACCTCATTTTGGGTGAGGGGCCCAAGTTTCAGGATGGGCTGCAGAGTGCTGGCTTTCCATTTCTATTTAACCATTGCCCATGTTTCTACTGGCCTCATTGCTGAAAGAGAGCTGTGTTAGTCTGTGGCAGCAGTCTCCTATCAGATTCCTGATTTTTAACTCTGGCCTCAGTGTCCCATCTCTAAAATGAAAATAATTTTAAAAAACTGTAAGATGTCTTTCCTAACTCAAGTCTGATTAAAACAAGTGGGAGAAAATATACTTTTACCTGCCATCATAACCGAAATGGGAAGGCATCATCATGAAAAATGCCTTAATCCAGCAATTACAGATTTTATTAGTTTACTAGATGCCTATAATAGCCACCTGCTATTAGAGATTTTCTACCTCATTACTGATGATTATAATGCTTGAAGGACATATAGAAGCACCACAAGCCTCTTAATTCTTATTTTCTCCAAACTGAAAAGAACTTATACTGTACATCTTTCAGAATCCTTTGGCAAGTGATGGCTTGGAAGAGAGGCTAAGTCTTATCTCACTTGCATTAAGTAAGATAAGAAACAATAGGAGCATCTCCCGCATTTCTTACTTTATCAGCACCCAGAAGACTTACGAATGAGATAAATCCTTCTCTGAAGTTGCACAGGACAAAGAGAGGGAAGGACTGACATGGTCCTATTTACCGACATGAGTAAACAGGAACTGGCTTACAAAAACTGAATCACATCTTGTCAAGAAAAAAACGGTGCCACTGATTTCATTCCTTGGAAGTCCCGTATATCCCTGCCTTACTCATATAAGACTCGTCTGACCACGCAAAGCGTGGATACAGCATTAGGCACATTGCCTTCATAGGCTTTTTGTCAGCAAGCTAGCATACTTAAAGCTCAAGCTCCATTAAAACCCCCAATAACAAAAGGCTGCAGTGTAGAACAGAACGCTGATTCCAATGCTCCATCCTACTCTCCCTGCCCAAAGCTTTGACAACCTTCCAATAATCACTCAGTATTCTATATTCACTGAGCACGCTCAGTCCACACTGAACTGTCTTTGCTGATTTGTCTATTTATTACAATTTATATGCCACTCAGTCCAACAAGGCTCAAAGAGGCTGGCAAAAGAAAACACCAACACCATTAAAATAGCAGTCGTAAAACAGAGAGAGACAAAACAACAGTGCCCTGAGGAATAGCCGCCCCCACCCTCAATCCATAGCAGGAGGGCCCCTTATCACTCATCTATTCCAAGGTTCTCTGGAAGGACCAGGTTTTAATGGCTGTCTGAAAAACCAGCAGGGTAGGAGCCAATCTAATCTGTGGAGGAAGGTTCTTCAAAGAAGAGGGTCAGCAACAGAGGGAGAGGACGATTCCCTCACTTGAGGGTGTCTGGCTCAGTTTTTTCCCTACTTCGGCAGACCTTGTGACTCCCACCAGTGTGATAGTTCCCTTTTGTGCGAGGGTGGTGCCATTTTGGCTACATAAGAACAAGCACTCTGAACATGATGATCTGTTCTCCAGTATGCAAATCCCAGCATCGGAGCAGCCTTTGATTCAAACATAGGGCCCTGTATTTCAAGCGGCCAAATTCCCAGGTATGAGATCTGCATCTCAGGGTAACCAAATTCACTTCCCTGCAGTCCCGGGGACATTCTCCCTAGACCCAGGCCTTTCCATTTCTGCTGGAAAATAGATCTGCCCAGATGCCTGCCACCTGGCCTCAAGGAAGCAGGTTGAGGGATGCTCACCCAAGAGGCGATATTTGAGGGTCCTTTCATTGAAGGGGTCATCCACACCACAGCGGGGCTGCCTCATCTGGGAGAGGGTTGCCATGTCTACCTGCCCAGTGGCCGGCAGTCCTGATGCAAGCTGAAAAGATCTGTTGGAGCAGAAGCAGGAGGGAGAAAAGAGGACACACCATGGTTATCATTGCCCAGCACGTGGACCCTGGTTTACTTAAATAACCAAGTTTCCTGGGGTTGCAGGACACTAACCACATGCTCTGTGCTGCCCCTTCCCCACCAGTAGTTTAAGATGTGCTTGTGTCACCCAAATGACATCAGTGACAGGACAACCCAAAGTCTTTAGTTTGGCTTCCTGACTGAGCCATATGTTTCTGGTTTAATGTCCCTCGTGTCTTTATTTTACCTCAAAGCAACCTCGATCTCCTCTTCTGTGAATTTATTTGAGAACTGTTCCAGTGACTTCTGTAAGTATCCAAACTGCAGCAAAAACTCCTGAAATAGGGAAATAAATTTAAAAGGTAAGCTCACCTCCAACGCTACGTTTTACTGGGACACAGACAGTCCTAGCAAAATGGGTGTAGATAGTAAGGAAGATGACCTTGATGGAGTTAGACAGGAGCCTGCTGTTAGCTGAAGCATGTTTGAAGTCCAGAACAACAAGATAACATTCAGAAGCAGCTCGGGCAGATGCTTCCCTAATTCTCTATAAAGAGAATACAGTAAGCTATAAAGAGGAGGAGGAGGCCCAGGACAAGATTGTGTTATTGTAGCCAATCTCAGTAAAGGTAGTTTCAGCCTTCCTGTGGAGTTGATTTCCTGATCTGGTTTATCTAGAGGGGCTGACATTGTATAACTTCTGTATTCTGTAGCAATCTCTCTCTGTACTAATCAATGTTAGATTGGCAGGCCACAGTTCAACTTCATTTTTCTGGACATATTTGGCCTGTTAGACCTCCCTGCTGTTTCTGAGTGAACGAAGAAAGCAAAAGAGCACAAATGTTAAAGAGTTCTCCTGCAGATACACATTTTAGAGGATAATCTATAACACCCCTTAGTTCTTCCAAGGCATTATGTGTCTCTCACAGATATATTCACCCTCGGGCAAGTATTGTTACACTTTGTGGCATGCACACATTATTATAAATAGCACACTGCTGCTTCCCGTGATCCCTCCCTGATCAGGCCAGATTCTTTTGCTGTGAGCCAAAATTGCAGCCTTGGATGTACTACAAAACTCAATCTGTAATTTCAGTTCATCACAAATGAGTCAGACATTCATTTTGCCACAAGAACAAAGTCCATGGTAAACTGAGTCAAGATGGATTAAACTGGGCAGATAAAACCTGAGATTCATTGGAAGCCAGGAAAATCGACACAAGTCCAAGACTGAGACAGAAGTGAAGATTGGCTGAATTCACTCTCTATCCTAAGCCAAAATAAATGAACCATATAATGGCTTATTACAATATGTGAACCCTATCAATGCAATCTTTATCCACCCAGTTCCATATATTAATTTTGGTTCTTAGAGCAATAAAAAGGTCTAGGCAACTATCTATCTATCTATCTATCTATCTATCTATCTATCTATCTATCTATCTATCTATCTATCTATCTATCATCTATCTATCTATCAAACTTGGAAAATCTTTCCCCAATCTTTCCTGTGGGGCAGAAAAGAAACATTTCTGAGTGGCTGTGTTGGCAGAACACATGTATGTATGGCTAATTTATCCATGACTTACTCAATTAACCCTGTTTTCTAGGTAATGCAAGGCATATTGAAGCATCCTTAACAACACAAGCTGGCTTTGCACAATCCACTAGGGTAAAACATGGTTGGCTTGTTTGTGCTTCAGTGTGTCATGTCAACCCAGCCAGAAAGAGTTCTACTACACACACTTTGTAAATACAGCCATTGTTTTAGTTTTAAAAAGCTCCAGAATAAAAGCATCTCAGTTTGGGGAAAGGATGAATCAGGGCCTGAAGACCTTGGCAGAAGGAAGAAAAGTCTGGGGTTTGGGGATGCAGGCCAGGCCAGGCCAGAGAGTCAACCCTTCCCACCCCTTTTGTCTCCTCCTGATGGTCTACCACTGCAGAGGCTTCTGCTTCTCCATCAAAGTGGGGGTCTGGATCCAACCTACCAGGGCTTCTTTCTCTTCCACGTTGTTGAGAGCAGCACCCTTGGCCGAGAGGACCCAGGCGAAGACCTGGAAGAGCAGTGTCAACCATGGGACCCTCATGTCCGGTTTCCTTGCACACCAAGCAAGAGGCAGCTCCTCAGGACTGAAGTCCACAGAACACTTCAATAAATGTTTCCCGTTCTGGATTTCAGGCCAAGCAAGTTAGAATCTTGTTCTCCACCGTCTCTCTCTCTCTCTCTCTGCAGCCCAAGTTTTGCTTTGCCCTCCTTGATCCCTCAATCCATCGTGTCTTCCCTCCCCTTTCCAAAGTTTATAAATCTCCCAAACAGCAGGAGTGAGTCATTTCCAACTGAAACATGTTGCAACCACAAGGCCAGGATAACCCCCCTTTTTTTGCAGAATATTAACTCTTTGCAGAATAAACTTTCTCTTAAAGTGACGGTTCCATTTATGGGGACCTTCTTCAAACGTGGTTTGCCTGATGACTCTAGGGTTCCATTGGATTAAGCCCAGGTTGTTTTCATTGACAACCTAATCATGCCAGAATAAAAGATAGTCTCTGAAAAAAATTGCTTTAATTACATGGGTCGTTTTAGTTGAATCCAGAGATTCTGTTCAATTGGAGAAATGTAGTAATACTAGGAATGAAGCCCACACAAAACCCTGCCTAGGTTTAACAGGTCTTGTTCAAGTCTTTCCTTGACTCATGTCCCCTTCCTCTTGTTATGGATTGCCTAAACTAAGAGCGAAGCTAATTGACCTTCAGCTCTGTTCTGACCTGGAAAAGGTGCATGTTCTCATAGTGCTAAGAAATACCAGCTTGCCCTCCCCCCCACTCTCAAGTATGCAAGAGTTGTCCAAGTCTTGAACACCATTTAGTGCAGGGATGGGCAACTTTATGGCAGTCAAAAGTGGCACTTGACACTTTGGGGGAGAGAGGTTGAGGGCTGCAACCTGACTATGGCCATTCAATACATGAATTGATGTATTATCAATTTGACATGAACTCTGGGGATTTTTTTTGTTTTTTTAACAGTGATATGCAAATCTTAGGGCTTATCCTATAGTTCCCATGTGTTTCCCATCTGAAAATGATAGCAAACTTCTGCCAGTTTTCAGTCATATGGTCCAAGGGAGCTCTGAGGGTCACACACATACTCACAAAACTAACCAGAGTGCTGCCTGTGGTCCTGTGGTCCCCTAAGTCCCAACCATGATTTAGCATACTGTATATAGCAGACATAATGAACCTATGGCCTCCAGATGTTGCTGAACCACAATTCCCTACATCCTTTACTAGTAGAACATGTTGATTGGGACTGACAGAAGTTGAAGTTCCCTGGTCCCTGGCATACAGCTCCATGTAACGTAATAGCACTTCCCATAAATCATCTGCCTACATTCTTACAGAATTTCACAAGCAGAGGGACTTCCAGGGGAGGTATGGCAAACTGAGACAACTGCAGCAAAGATCGGTTCCTTGAAACCTCTCTGGATAAGGAGAGGACAGGAGATTGCCCACATGTGCTCCAGATGGCTGCTCCTCCCGAGGAGACCCCAGGACAGCAGTTATCCGCAGGTTTGAGTACCAGGAGATGACGGAATCAGCCATCTTGCTTGCAACCTCAGCAGAGCCTTTTAAAGGATACTAAGTTCGCAAACCTCATTTTCTAATCCTTTCTGGAAATTGCCTATTAACCATCTTAAAGCTATTAGAGAACTTTGGAACAACAAGTTTGAAGAGTCTTCATCAGGTGAGTTTATCTTCAACTCTGAACAAAATAAAAATTAATTATAAGCTTAAGAACTTAAAGAATTTGAAATAAACAGCAAAAAGCTAAATAAGATTTTGATAATTTGAAATAAACAGCAAAAAGCTAAATAAGATTTTGATAATTTGAAATAAACAGCAAAAAGCTAAATAAGATTTTGATAATTTGAAATAAACAGCAAAAAGCTAAATAAGATTTTGATCTAAGACAGTTATAAATGGATTAAGGATCCAAATAGATTTGGAATACTGACTTTTACTATAAGATTTTGGAATTAACTTCTTGTGGGAAAAAGACATATTTTGGTTATCCTGGCAATTGCAAGTCATAATAAAAGAAGTGATGGTTTTAGAAATTGGACACTAGAGGGGACTAAAGATTCTAAGCAGAAGAAAAAAAATGCAAGCCTGTTCTTCATGTCAGTTAATATTGAGACTTACAAAATGACACAAAACATTATAACATCAGAAACATTAAAGGATATCTTTGAAGAATGGAGCCAGAAATTAGTAACTACAATATCAACGCTGTCAGTAATGATATCTGCTTCTAGGGATAGACTATGTCCAAAAGATGTTAATGAAGGAATGACAGGTGTGGAACAAATTTTATCTGACAAAACAGAGAGTACCAAAAGTAGAATTACAAATGACAGGCCAAGAAAATGATTCAGAAAAGGATGCTTTACTGGATATACAAAAGAAACTGCCTGAAGTTTTAGAAATTAAAAGGGAAATACAAATGATAAACCAAGAGAATGGCCTGGAAAATGTTTTTGTATTGGATCTACAAAAGAGGCTTGTTAAAGCCTTGAAGAAATCTGTGTGATGGGATGAAGAAGAATTGAAGAGAAATCAAATCCTATGACAATATTTGATTTCAATTCAATCAAATATTGTCATAGGATTTGATTTCTCTTCCATTTTTCTTCATCCCATCACACAGATTTCTTCAAGGCTGACTGTTAGAAGTAAAAGGAAGGAATATCAAGTTGATTTGTTTGATCAAGGTTAAAATAAGACTTTTTTTTTTTTGCAAAGTTCTAGCAACCCTTTATGGACTTCTTGCTAATACCAGGATTGAAAAGTTGATGTTCTATGGATTTGCTTATAGATAAGGGATGGGATATGGGAT